ATATTGCAGATTAATGAGGGATTCATTGTCGCTGAAGAAATTGCACTTGAGAAATCGGATAAACTTCAAAATTGTAGCTGAAAAAATAAAATTAAACGTCGGCAAATACAACTTTGTGATAAATCAAATTAAAAAAACAGTTCAAACTCCATAGTCCTCTAAGATGATCACAACAGTATAAATCTAGCATAAATTAAAAATTTGAAATTGTACCTAGTTTTTCGACCTTTCATCGAGTAATTTCTTTCAAAACGAGCGAAAATCAATGAGTAATTTCGTCACCAGAAGAAACTAACAAACGAGAAAGAGAATTTATGGTAGTTTTTTTAGTAGACGAGTAGTTATCAATGGCGATTTTTAGCGAAAATGGCGTGAGGAGAGAGAAAATGCTTCATGAGAGTGAGGTTGAAGAGAGAGAAAATTACGCTTGATTTTTGGTGAAAATCATCTAATTTGTTTGAAATAATCACAGTGGTTCATCATGCGTGAATTTGAGCGTTATATACTCCCTCCGTCTCCGAAAGAACGACCCTTTTGGGTTGATTTCGCGGGTATAAGTTGGAAGTATAAGAGTGTATGGAGAAGCTAATAAAAGTATATTGAAAAGGAAAATTTACATGGGAATTGCAAAAAAGTAGAAAGAGAAAGTAATAAAAGCATATCGAAAAAGCAAAATTTGCATGGGGAAACTAATTTTGCACAAATATTATTGCAAATTGGAGGGTATTTCAATGCAAATGGGATGAACATTTTGGGACTAAAATTAGGCCAAAAGGGTCGAACTTTTGGAGACGGAGGGAGTATATGCACACACACAAAAAAGGGAAAATATAGAAATGTATATAATAAGAAAAAATATAGAATTTTTTTTTTGATGTTTAGAGAATCGGGAGGAAAGCTCTAACCACTCTCGCTATTCCTCACTCTCGAAAAAATATAGAAATGAATATAATGTTATTAAAACTCCAAGGCAATGTCTGTCATCTCTCTACATGCATCACAATGACATGGCAAAACACAAAGTGACATAGCATTGAGCTTGGCTATGGCCAGGGCCAGCTATTGGGCTGTGCAAAATTCCCAACAATATAGGACCTTACATTTGATAAGGCCCTAAAACCTGAAATTTAGTTAAAGTATAAAATTTATTATACGAGCTCATATAGAAAACTAGCTTAAGTCGAGGGAGCCCAAGTAACAAATTTACGTTTATCAAATAACAATTGATCAGTAAATATCTTGCTTCGTTTTCTGTGAAATGGCTTTAAAAAATATATCTTCGCTCTGTTGTCAATTGGCACTGAGGGACCCATGTTAACGCCAAGTTAACGAGGGCATTAACGTCTAGAAGACTATCGTCAAGTTAGAAAGTTAATTGGGTTACTTTTTCAGAAGAGAGAGTGTGTAAAAAAACATAAAAAAAAAAAGAAAAAAAAAGAAAAAAAAAAGAGAGAGAGAGAAGAATCGAGACAAAAACTAATAGAGAGATCGAGAAGACCATGGATGCAACAATGAGTTCATTAATTTAAGACCAACTATGAATCCAGTAAGGCTTCTCGGCAACGATTACTCCACCTTCGAATTACCCAAAAAAAACGCTACTGATTGCGCCGCTCAAATGGTGCCAATTGTTCCACTGTTGGATTACCTAATACAGTTATTGCCCAACTCCAGTTGAATGGTAATTGCCCACCTTCAATGATTGAGTGCTCCCATTTTAATTTCGTGATAGAGGAAAGTAAAATGTTCACCTTTACAATAGGAGAGAGAAAATGTTCAGAATTGTAGGAAGAGAGAGAAAATGTTCGTTAACGCCTTCAAACGTCGTCAATCTTGAAAGGAATGGTGTCATTAGAACAAATGTATTATTCCGATAGAGGGTTCGGAATTAATTAGGAAAGCTACTTATTCAGTGAGGTCAAGTGATTGGAATGCTTAGCTGGAGGCCGCTTCCGATTAGTAATATTAATGTATAATTAATATTACAGCTTGCTCTTGACTGAACCCTTCGGGTCACACCCAATCGTGTAACCGAACCAAAGCGATAAATTAATCCAAGGATTAAATGAGTCGATAGAGATTTTACGAACCAAAACGTCAGATTCCGAGCTTAGAGCGTCGAAAGTCGAGTCGAATTTAGGAATCGACGAGAAGGAAAAAATAGTCAAATAACTAGTTAACACGTGCAAAAGTCCAAGCCTCGCAATGGCCTAGCCATGCGAGGGCTAGGCAGGCTAGGCTAGCAAGGCTGCTAGCCATGCGCATGGCTTGGCCGCAAGCCCAGCAGCCACATGTGTGTGCTGCGTGGGCAAGCTGGTCGAGCGCACATGCTAGTAACGCTAGCCCTGCAAACATGCATGCTGGCATGCTAGCAAGGCCAGCACCAGCCTGCATGTTCCAGGCACCCTCGCAAGCAAAGCCAGCAGCAAGCGATGCTCGCTGGACCTTGCACAAGGTAGCAGCAGCAGCAGCTCGCTGGGGCTTGGCTAACGATAGCAGCATCTAGCAGCGCACAACGGCCCGCGTTAATGCGAGGCTGCTACCGCGTGGGCATGCTGGCAAGCCCAACCAAGGCACTAGGCGCCAACAAGGCAGCCTGCCAGCTGGCACACGCCTATTGGGCCCGGTTTGAGTGAGGCGGTTTGCTTGGGGAGCAAGGGAGGTGTGGTCCTCCCTTGTGGTCCTCACCTACTCCCTTGCTCTCCTTGTGACACTTGTTTTTTGCTAATTGTTTTTCCATTTTAACCATTCTTTTGGCATTTCACCAATTCTCTCACATGGAAAGATGATAAGAAATCTTAGGAACAATTCCAATCATTGGGTATTGGGAATTTCACTTGAGTTAGCGAACTCTAAGGGATCTCCTAAAGTGTGAGAAACCTTAGTTCGTAAACTCTAAGTAATTTTGGTCTAGTCCCGTCTAAGCTATGGGGTAGGGGCCAGCTCGGTAATCGAGGGTGTGAGACGTCAGAGATCTTGCATTTGCGGGGCTTGAAGTTTTCCAAGTCCGAGCCCGATTAGTGACCGAAGCACGCGTCAAGGGTGAGCTTCTTTATCTCTCTTCTCTTTATGTATTTGTGTTTTATTTATTTGCATGCTTTTGTTTATGTTGTAATTATTATGCATGCGATCTGGTTTTCGGGTTTTGTTTTCGCGCGCACGATGTCGGACACCGCAAAACCCAACAAATCTGTTGTCCAAACAACGTCTATGCCACTGCTGCAAACGTCCATTGAAAATGTTAATATTGCCCTTAACTTTTCAGATGAAAGTACATCAAAACCCCTTGATAAAGAGCGCTCGTTTCTCATTGTTATAAACTTGAATTTGCTCGCTTAAGTCCCACGCACAATTTTTATTAATATTATAATTTTAATTCAACAATAATTTACCATAAACCAAATTAATTTTTTAAGTGATGAAGCACAATAAATTGATTTTAATACTTATACCAAAGACATTAAGGGTAACTATTGCATTAATAAGCCAACTTTATGAAAAAATATAATGAACGAAATATAAGAAGTATAGGGTTCTATTTAATAAAACTAAAGTTTAGGTTAACACCCGTGCAATATACACATATATACTTCTATCCTTATATTGTTGACATATTTTGACAGACACAATACTTTATTAATTAGTTAAGAATACACTTTTTTACTATTTGAAAACATAATGGTGGGAAATTTTTGCACCAAATTTTGACATATACTACATACCTTTTATATATATATATATATATGCATGCTATTATCTATATGCCTTTTAAGAATAGAAAATTATAGTAAATACAACTATACGTAATACTTTATATATTACAAAATGAGTTTTCTTTTATGATAAAACTTTTTAAAGTATACTAGTCCCTCCATTAGCCATCCAAGTTTTTTTTTTTTTTTTTTTTTTTTTTGAAACAAGTATGATAATACTTTCTAAATTACACTAATCCCTCCATTCCACAACATTTATACAATTGAACAGCATACGAAGTATAAAGCTTTACATTGATTGGGTACCCGTACCCCCATCATAAAGGTGAATCAAATCCTTTAGATCATCCATAATAATAGTGGAATCAATTTGGGTTATTCTTGAAACAATATTATTTAAAGACTATTTTAGTCAAATGGTGAGACTCACTACCTTAGCTTATTCAATTATGATAGAGTTGTGTTTGAACTAGATTCTTCAATGGTGAAACTCTTTGTTAGACAAAAAATATCACATAAAAAATTGAAACAATAGTCTTCCATCATAAATTGGTGAAGCGTGACTATAAAACTTAGTAAATTCACGCGATACGTGATAGATGAATCCAAAGCTAAAACTCTATTCTCTCAATCTAGGATCTTCTACAATGGCGAGTTCCACCATAAGACGTATGTACTTGAATGATAATAAGGTGACACACACAAGCAGCAAATCGAGAAAAAGACGTAGTTTATTGGAAGAGCCGCACAAGCACCCAATGTCAATATCAGCTATTGCAAGCCACTATTCCAAAAATTCCTCAGTAATGGCTTTGCAAGAAATGGAAAAACAATGTTTGTCATATATAGGCATAACCCCATTGGAAGAGATGCATATATACGTAAACTCTATTGTACGTCTTTCAATTGAATTGTGCATAGGTTAAGAAATTAACAATAGATGTATGGAGGTACACGAACACAATGTTCATAGTCATCCCCAAATATCCAACATTATATTAACACGTCATATACGGTTAAATGTGGATGTCAGCTAGTTTAGTTGATTAAAATCTTGCCTTTACAATTCTCTTTATACAAAAAATACTAAAAAAATATTGTACAAAGAAATAAGGTGTGTAATCACCGGCATTGCATGGAGTACAACTTAGGTATATACAAGTATATTATTTTCATATTATGATGCATAACAGAGTACTTAAATGCTGTTGTGCATGCACTGTATGTAGATTATTCTTGTGCTTCACCATATATATTCTTATACGAAGCAGAAAGAAGCCAAGGATATCAGAAAACTGGGTGTATAATATTAAATCAAACTAATTAAAGACGCAAATCAAACAAACTCTCCAGATATACTGATAATCCTATCCATCATCGCCAACTAGAGGTGTAGAAGAGAATGCATGGGAGTGTATTCAATTATATACATGAAATGCACCAACGACTATATCGCCATTTTTAAGGCAAGACTAGAAAAGAGATCGAGGTCGAGCCGAATAGCTAGACTAGCTGAGCTATTACAACTTATCTGCAATCCTTCCCAAAGAATCAGCTAGCTTGTTGAGAACAGCAACTAAGCTATTAGCATGGTCTTTACGTTCTTCCCTATCCAATTTCAGGTTAATGTTGTAAGCATCCAGTTGAGCACTTAGGATTCTGCCGTTTTTCTCCAACACTTGGCATAATTCATCCTGCTCACCATTATTATTATTATTATTATTATCATCTTCGTCCATAAACCGTCTTCGCTTTCTTCCCTCACGGGATGTTGATCCAATTTCAACATTTAACCTGTCTTGTTGCTTCTCATTATTTGTTCCTGAAGATCATGTAACAATATTTTATTCGATTTTTGATTCAGGAAATATATTAGCTAGCTAGGGTAGTCATACGACTAATGAAAATACGACTAATTTCACCATCATCAGATCAAAACAAAACACAGCTAGCCAACTAAAATCATCTGGTGGGATCCTATACCAAAGAACCAAATACTACAGAACACAGTAAAATAGTATACGTCGTATATAAATATTTCAGAATCAAAACAGCAGTGAGTTGTACATAAATTATACTCCTAATGTATGTAGATAGTTATGGGAAAGGACTTGGATTTTGATATAAACCACCAAATGGCATGGAACGTTGATTTGGTACGTATGTACGTGTTGTGATCTCTATTATCAAGTGTAAACTATTACATGATTGATCTCTATTGAAGAAAAGAAATTGAAAGGCTACTACATACGCTGGTACAAGAGTATAAGGGTAACATAGTTAGTACTCGTACGTAGCACGCTCCTACTAGTCTAGATTGTAATGAGGAAATATTGTTGACAATAGAAAGAAACATGATATATTGGTGACTACATCAACAGGTTGAGCCTAACAAGCAAGTTACTAGGTTTTGGGAAGTTGCACAGTATAGTAGAATCATTTAATAACACTCAAAGAATGTATTGGTAATACTAATACTCTTATAATTAAGAAGAGAGAAATTAAACTTGCCTGGAGGTGTGACTTCTGTAGTCTTGGGCTGGTACTGCTTCTCTGAAAAACAATACTCAAAATTAATGACAATATAATAAATTAAACATCAATTTATTTGTTGACTAGAAGATCAAATAAAATACAAATCCCAAAGAATAGACCCGTATAACAGTACATTGGTACTCTTAGCTTATGAACTTCAGAAGGGGCAACATAAGATTAGAATCCGGTCAATATTAAAACCCATTAAGGTTGACTTTTATTCCGCTCATTAATTAATCAATAAATTACACTAATTAAGGAATAAATAATCAATTAAGGGTTTAAAATGTGGAGAAATGACACACAACTAACCATATAGAAATAGATCAAAGTATTGAATAAAAAAATGTTTAGATATGCCTAATGACACTTAAAAAATAGTTTTTATTTTTTAATTATATATATAGCACTATTAGTCTATTACTAGTGGTGGTGGGGGTGGAGTATAAATGTATAATATCATAGTGTATGTAATAAAAGAAAAAAAAATTGAAAAAAAGACGGTAGGAAAAAAGAGTACCAGAAATAGGAGTAGGAGCCGGAATAGTAGTAGTTGTAGTATTAGGAGAAGAAAGCAAAAGAGGTTGAGGTTCAACCTTAATCTCAACCTCAACTTGATTATCATTATCACCCATAATTTCATCATCCTGCAGCTGATGTTGCTGCTGCTGTTGTTGCGGGTGTGTAGGTTCGAAATCGGAGAATAACCCATCATCAGCAGCAGCACTCCTGCCACTGTCAAAGAGTGGTTCGACATTCGAATCGGGTGGTAATGATTCAGAACCAGAACAAGTAGCAGTAGTGTTGTTGTTGTTGTTGTTAGAAGAGTTGAGAATATCAAAAACTTCTTTATCAAAGAATCCAGGTAATTTCTTCTCTCTTCTCAAATCATTACGCATCAACCAGAAAGAATCAGACTCATCTTTAACCAAAGATTCCCATTCTTTAATCTTCTTAAAATCACCTGCTAAATTACTCCATCTTTTTCTACACTGAACAGGACCCCTGTTTACTCCATGTCTCTTACAGTAAGATGATACTGTTGCCCATTTTGGTTCCACTTGTTGTTGTCCTTGACTACCATCACACAACGCCACGCTTCTTCCTCGCCGTACTCGATTCTCCGCCACGCGTTTTCCTTGTATTAATACGAGTATCTCCTGCCTCGTCCACCTCGGCAACCTTGCTGCTTTTATTCCTCCTCCGCCTTCGTCCCCGGTGTTGTTAAAGTCAACGTCAACTGCCTTTGACGGTGTCGCTGATAGCGTAACCACCTCCTCCTCCTCCTCGTCATCATCATTGTTAATGCTGTTATTATCGTTGTTTGGTTGTCGGAGTAGGTGCTGAGCCATTGAATTCAATGAAGAATCCTCGGCCTCGTTATCTTACACGTGACACTATTTTTAGGGATGGACTTACAAAACAAACGCCGTTCAAGGAATCAAGAGGGCAATCCTGTTACAGAAAAAACCCCTAAATTCCAGTGTCTCCACCCTCCTCCCCAATTTATTTACCCTAAAAATTTCTACAACTTTTTTTTTTTATATTAATTAAAAATTAAAAAAATAAAAATAAAAGGGAGATCAAAGGGTGTTGAAATTTGAAGGGTTGTTGAAAGGAGAATTAGTAAAAGTATAGAGGGATTAAGGGAGTAGGAAGTAGGACGGTGGGAGGTATTTAAGTATAATATATTGGTAATTAAGTTTGCTAATCTCTTCCCTAATATTGATTATAGAGAGGAGAGTATTGCGTATGACTATGTGGGGACTTGTCAATACCTAATTGATTGTTGATTATTATTGTAATTAATTTAATTAAATACTATTATCAAAAAATTTAATTAAATACTAATATGGGGAGATTTATTTCTTTATTTGAGAGATAGCCCCAATTGGGGGTTACTTTCTTCATTACCATCTTGATTATTTTCTCTTTACTTATTTACCTTTTATTCCTCCCTTTCTTATGCCCTTACTTTTTACTTTTTTTAACTTATTTTTCATGCTTAGCATTCAAGTTTAATTTACCTTTTATTAATAAATTTTACCATTGAAACGGAAAAAATTAGATAAAATAAACAAAGTAGAATAATTTGTGAGATAGAAAAAATTGTTTTATTTGCTTCACTCAAATAAAACAAAAATAATAACCTACTTTGTAAATTGTTTTAGAGTATGATTCAATGTATTTTCAATTTACTAGAGGATATTATTATCATACTTTTTTTATTTTTTTTATTTTTTTTTTGAGGGAAGGATATTATCATACTTTGTATTACCAAAAGGACATTAATGAAAACAAGATTTGAACTAACCTTGTCTTTTCCATAAATTAAAATTGTAAAACAATATTACGTAATTAAATGTTTGCAAAAAAATAAATAAAAAAAAACTAGAAATATGATATAATAAAAATATAGAGAATATAATCGACTAATCTCATTAATATGAAGATAATGATGTTGATTGCAAAACGATCCTTTTACTCCATAAGGCAAATCTACCCTACCACTAAAAGAAAGACTTCTCCTATTTGCAACTCCTTTATTTTCTTCACCACCTCATCCTTCATTATATTATTAGGCATAATTATCTACCAAATACTCATTAGTGTCCCTTTATTAGTGGCTCCTTTAATTTGTTGTTTTGAATTAAGACTTTCTAGACTATTGAGGGACACCCATTTTGCCCTTTCTTTCTTACACCATTCACATATATATTTATGTGATATGCCTATCCTTGTCATTCATTGTCCTTAAACAATTTGCCATCTTCTCTAATCAAAATACACCTCATTATAATTTTAATTATTATTATTTTTATTATTTTGCCCCTAAGAAAGCTTCCAAAGATGAGCATAGAAACACAATTAGGGGTTGTCATTAAGGGGAGAGTTAGTAAAAGGTCATATTCTCCTTGTGACCTGCCATGGGGACCACTTGTTTAGTGCCTAAATATAAGCTATAATGACCTTATAGTGCATTAGTGGGCTACTTACCTCTAATCTTTGATATTAATAACAATTTTATTTTTACTTTTGGTGTGTAGAGAGCTATAAATGGCCATAACATAGATGGAATTGGATCTAAATTTTCAAATCTCACCATCCCTAAATTTTATCAATTACGAGTAATTTAATTACCACATACAGATTATATGTTTAATTAATTAAACCGCATTAAGCTAGCTATGAGTAAAAAAAATTCCATTTTCATTCAAAAAAAAAAAATCCATTTAGCTAAAATTATTTTCCCAATTTGTCAAAAAAAATAAATAAATAAATATTTTTCCCAATTTTTTATGGAGGATGGAATAAGTACAAAAATACGATTTGGTAGGTACAAATATTCTCATAGATAACTTAATCCTCTTTTTAAGGCATTTCATTGGTCATATGGCAATATAGCATGGTATCAATCTCGCTTCAAATCATCACTCTGATCTAGTTATCCTTTCAAGTGAACAATTAAAAATCACAACTTGAGATTATGTGGCTAAACTGCTTACACGACACAAGAGGAATGTTGGTAAGCTATGAGTTGTGCATGGATATTATTTACAAAATTTGGCACGAGCTCCTAACCCATACGTAGACCTGCTGATTTTTTTACCAATTAACCAAAAACATAAAATTTTATGGTGTCCTCTCACACGACACATGGAAATTTCAAATTAGTTGCATCAAAAAGAAAAGAAAAACACACATACTAGTAAAAGATCAAGTTATGGGGTTGATGAATAATGCAACGCCGAATAATGCAACGCCATGCTGTAGAATTTGGCAGCCAACGAAGAATAAACGGAAGCATAGCATTGCCTTCGTTTTTACAAATTGATCCTTCTAGTTCTTTGTGCTATCGTCTAGAATACTGAAAATTGCTGCACAAAGAATAAATTACCTCTGTTTGACCCTGCTAAACTACAACGTTTATAGAATGGGTCAATTAACTATGGCAAGAAATTATAGGAATTGTTGAGCTTCAGCACCGGTCAGGGAACTACACTAATACAAACGTTTCCGACAATCTCCTGTACCGCAGAAACAAGGCAGTACTTTAATTTTGCCGTCAGAGCCTATAACGCTATCCAGTGCGTACCCATAATCGTAAGTCAGTTCCTGTTGCAAGAAGCATACATCAAGTTGTAATCAGCAGACAGGTCTCAGTGTATTTAGGGACAAAAAAAAAAAAAAAAAAAAAAAAAAAAAAAAAAAAAAAGGAAAAACTTAAAACATAAAGAGCAATTGCTAATGACTTCAGTTAGAGCAACAATGAGGAAAGGAGTGAATTAGAAGTAACCTGAACCATTCAGAAGGTTGTACTTCTAAGACAAATGACAGATCAGATGAATTCATGCTTGTTACTTTGTTAGTCATTTGTTTCGGTAGTCAAAATATCTAGTTACACTATATGAACACAGAGTAAATACTGCATTTATTTGCTATCCTAGACCTAGTTGTTAAGGTACCACAGAAAACTGGATGGCTGAATTGGAATAAATGTTTAATAATCAATGATAGATCATTAAATTTTAAGCGCTTATGCAAGGTCATTCAAATCTGGTAATTTTAACTTTCCAAAGCCAAACTAAACACATAATTAATGCAACAACGAGAAACATGTTTAAACAATTATTTTCTGAGGTGCATTAAACATAAAGAACAGAATCAGGCCAAGCAGTCAAAGGAGTCAAAATACCTGCATGGGCGGTATGTTGTCTGCAGCAATGAGCACAATGCGAGCTAATCGTAAGTCATGGTGTGCGCTCAAGATACATTGCACAAATAAATTAGGTTCACAACTGTGATTAATAAATCTAGCAACGTTTCCTCTACACCCTGCATCAATACAAAACTCCGGCGTACCATCTAACATCGTCTTATCAATCTTTGGTATACTTATAGCAGAGGACACCTGTACATTTCCTAAGCGTCTCTGAAAACAAAAATCAAATATTATTACAGATGAGAGTTGAGGATTGTACAAAAAAATTGTTTCTTATAATCAGTTGTACTAGGCAGCACAAGGAAATACACAATGTTCAGCTAAGAATTTGGTTGACACCACAAATGAATGATATACTTTGCATCAGATATCAATCCCTCCCCACTTGCCACTTGCCAGTACATTCCAACAAATACGCATTTAATTCCATGAGAATCTAATGCGAAGCTTGTGCAACAGGCCATAACATGACATACAAGAGAACATATACAGGGTCTTCAAATCCAAGGCTTAAGGATGATGCATCCATAACAGTACTTATTTTGTATTAACATTGTTACTATGCACAGTGCACAACACTTGCAATATCTAAATAGTTAGTAAGCAACATCCATTCAATTTAAGAAAAATTGTCACATCCCCTTCCTCACTTCGATGTATTGTCATTGATACATGCAATTACAAGCTGCTACTAGTCAATAAACAATAAGCAGACATTTGAATATAGTTGCAACATTACCTCTCTTCCTTCGATCTCATTAATGGTGTGCAAGCAATCAATTTCAAAGATGTATTCATTTGACTCATCTCCCGCAATGTTATCAAGTTCATCACTTCTTCTCACCACCCCGATGTATTCGCAAACCGGTGCACCTGAAGGAATATAATCCCATGACCTAACAGCCCAACCCTTGTCAGGTGTACGATACACCTGCTCAAAAGACAAAAGCACAGTTAATGTATGATACATGATAATTAAAGATTTGATGCTATCAAAAGCTACAAAACCTCAAGACGGTATTTGATTTTCCTTTGAGATATCCGATTTAGGCATCCAGGGTTGCAGCCACAGTTTGGTCCACATTCAAAGACAACATCCTTGGGCTCAGCTAACCTGGAAATCATAATTGCTTTAATAAGATAAACTTCCAAGAAAAATAAATTAGAATACAACAAAGCCTTATTCCCAAAATGATTTGGGTCGGGTAACATGAATCGTCATAAGGAATCGTCAGCCAAAGAAAAAGGTTCCATAACAAGATTAAAAAAGTTTAAAATAAGGTGTGTAAAGTGAGAAAACGTAAAATTTAAGAGTGTTATAAAATAGTACCAAGAATAAAATTTAAGAAAGTTTTAAAAGAGTAATAGTGGTAAAATATGTGAGAAAAACATAATGGCTTGAGAAAACTTTAGCATAGGAAATAAATAAGTTTAAAAACACGAATTGAGTAAATAATAATATTAAATGCTAATTTAAAATAAACAAAAGTATACTCTATATTAATTTGCAACTTTGGAGGGTTGCATACAGCCATAAACGCCTTAGAAAAATTTGTTTGTGAGTGTAAAATAGAGAGAGAGAAATATGGATGCATGTGATGAGGAGAAAGATAGAGAAATGACAACCTCAAAAGAAAAGAAAATATCTGTTGCAAATAATGTGTAGCATCTATTTTTGGCAAAGGTAAAGGTAGTATGTAATCATGATACGTCGTTGACGTAATATTTCTCCCTCCACACTGCCTGTTCAACACCATGTTTTCCTCAGTCCCTAAAGCACTCATATCACTATCAATCACCCTCTAGAAAGTTTTCTTAGGTTTACCTCTACCCAATCCTAACACTTTGCATCTTTTCCCACATGGTCTCCTTCTAACATGGTCAAACCACCTTAAGCAATGCTCCCTCGTCTTGCACTCGATCGATGTAACCCCTACTTTCTTCCAAATTATCTCATTCCTCAATCAATCCTTGCTTATATGGCTACACATCCATCGCAGCATACACATCTCTGCCACATTTATTTTATGCACGTGGCCATGTTTTACAATTTACATCCAACATTCTACACCATATAACAAAGCAGGCATTATTGTCGTTCGGTAGAATTTACCATAAAAACCCCGTTGCACTCGTCCACTTCAACCAAATCGCTTTGATCCTATGCGCTATATTTTCGTCCAATCCTCCATCCTTTTGAATAACAGATCCTAGATATTGCACCTCATGACAATCATCCTATTCAAGCTGATCACCCCTGCCTCCTGTTTATCCATATACTCCGTCTTACTTCTGCTCACCTTCGAATTCCAAAGTTAGTATTCACAATTCCAACTTACATTCCATGCACATTTCTATGATAACTATGTACCCAAGATTTAAGAAAAAACAATATCAAAAGAAAATGTAAATACCACACCCACACCCGCATCCACATATTAATTAATAACAATAACAGGAAAAAAAGAGGCATAAATGTATAATTTACATTAAAGTATACAAAAGATTTCCATATAAAAAAAGAAAAAACAGAAAAATAGTATACTAAAAACCTCACCTCCCACCATCTCGAAGCACATAAGGGAAATCTTGTCCATTGAGTTTTGCACAAGCACAAGTTTTGTGGTTTGTGCAACTCCCCTTACACGAGCATCCTGGCGCACCTGGAGGCAGCTTCACACTTTCTGCAACTTCTACAGACTTGATATACGTAAATCCTACAAATATTGCATCATCACAAAGTAATTCAAATTTAAATGGTTTGCCAACTGTCATTTTATTCAACAAATATATAAAGGACAGATAATGTCATGTCTGAAGTAAAAAGTTGTAATAACACGGGGAGGGGGGGAGTAGGGTATACACCCTTTCTTTTCCTGAATTTTGGCAAATCTTAAGGCCCATTTTATCCCTTTTTTCTTTCACACCTTGTGGGAGAATTTAAGAAATGTGAAATAATGCATACATATATCAATGATAGCTTAATTAGGGATACTTTTTAAATCCATGATGATAATAATGTTTTGTGACATTGGTACAAGGTAAATTTATAATTTCAGAAAGGATTTTTATTACTTCCTCCGTTCTTTAACTATTGCACCACTTGCCAGAAGTTTCACAAATATTGCACCATTTACATTTTAGGACAAAAAATATCTATGTTCATATTGTAAATACCCAACATACTCTTATTTTTTCACACTTATTCTTTAGTTTATGTTTACATCACATGGACAATTTTGTATTTTTACCTTCTCTCTCTTCCTTTTTCCCATTACCAAAATTATTCTGCCATAATAAAAAAAAAAAACAGAAGTATATAAATTAGAAATGAGTGGCCCAAAAGATGAAATTCTAGAATATTGAAATGCTAAGACCCCTTAAGTATGCACTTTCACAAAGAGATCAAAAGAAGGTAAACGGACAACCTAATCAAAATAACTTTACACCTTAACCCAACACTTCCCCCTTTATCAGTACTTTAATTATTAATTAATTTATCCCTTTACCTTCTCTAGTCCCTTCCTTAAACAACAAGCCAAGAAGATATGTTGCACGTAAAATAACCGAGGAAGTATTTAAAATGTGAATTGAACTTGTGTAGCCTCAAAGGCCCTGAGCGACTGAGCTTAACTCAAAGGAATTTTCTTTTTCGTGAAATAAGTGAAAATAAACGTAGGAGAAGTGAGCATTAACGGAATAAGGACCATGAGGTCCCGACTAAAATGAGCAACCACAACAGATGGTAAAATAAAAATTAAAAAGCAAAGCTACTAATGACCGGATCCAATTACTAACACCACGCACAGAAACTAAAGCAAACTTACCTGGGGGACATATAGGAGGGTCATCAACTAAATTTGTAACAGGAATGCAATTATCTTCAAGACCATTGCTAATATCACGGCAGACCAACCTTCACAACAAAAATATTGTAATAAGCAAGCAGATTATCTTGAAAATGCAAGAATTCTGTCACAGTTTGAGACTAATGTACAAAATCTTACCCGGGCAAGTCTGAAACAACCTTAAGCGGGCATCCTCGAATAAATTGGACCTGAGAAAATTGCTTGAGTTAAGAATCCCACAATACATGCATCAAAGATTAACTAATTGAACCTAAACAGCTATAATCTTTTCATTTCATGGGTATTTGATAGCACGCAACTAGAATATTTGAAGCAGGTTCAGACAATAAAAATGAAGAATTAAACAGCATCAACTTCCCACTGTCTGTCACAGAGATTTGCACATGCATACAGGCAAAAAAAGCAACCTTTTGTAAAGTTATCAAATTTGAAGTACAAACGAGCAAACAACATTTAGAAAATCTATTACACTTTTTTTAAGAAAGGTTCTATGTTTCAACTTTAACCTAAGATAACAGGCCTTGCTATAGGCATCCTAACAAATGAATCATATGGTCAGCTTATCTACAAATTAAAATACTATGATTTGATTCTAAGACATGGTCTTATACAACCTGATACATAATACTTGTAGAAATACCCCAAACCCCCATAAAAGGGAGGCCCTATCAATATATTTAAAGCACCAATAAATTTCTCAATGTTAACAGGGTGCGATAATATACTGTAACTCGCTCAGGAAGCAGCTATCTTAAGCTGTCCAGAACCTTCACAAGCTCCTAAATACACATCTAATACAAACTATAGAAAACAGACACTGATACAAATGTCTAGTACCGGGTACATATTTAAGTGCCTAACACATAAGGGTTAAGATATGGACATGGGACAGTGTACTAAATTTGGACGCTGGTGCAAGGACAGGACATTTTTGAAACAAATTCCAGAATTGAAAAGAATTGCATGTTGCCATGTGGTATACACACATTTTAGATAAAATCAAATAATGGTTCCCATCAAAAGTATAGATGTCAAGCCCATTTGTGACCATAAATCTCACTCTTTCCCTCATTTTCTCCTCTTGTACAATTTACTTAGTAAGTGCGGTTTGAAACAATAAATGTGCCAACTTTAAAAAAGCAGTACTTTTCTCATCATTGAAATCCTATGCTAAAGCCAGCAGGAATATCCAAAAGCTTCGGTAAATTTAATACTCCCTCCGTTTTTTTTTTTTAAAAGCTACACTTGCTATTTTTGTCCGTTTTTTTTTTAAAAGCTACACTTCCTCTTTTGGAAACCTTTACAATTTAATAATATATCTCTACCCACTACTGGTCCCCATTCACTCTTACTTTATCATTTCTCACTCCTCAAATGGTCCCCACTCTCTCTCACACCACTTTACTTTTCAATAAAATAATAACCCCACTATCTTTTCTTACAATATTTTATTACCTTATCCACCCCACTAACATCTTATTTTATTAAACCTCCTAAAACTCCACACAATCCCAACTCTAGCTTTTAAAAAAAAAAGGAAGGGAGTAATTCATATGATTCGCAAAGAAAGAACACAAAATAAAAGCTTTTACTGCACAATAAAGTGCAGATGTGGGTATATCCCTATCCCTGTGCAGATGTGGGAAATATCCAGGGGCTACAGTGTTTATAATTCAGAAAATTACATAGATCATAAAATAAAAGGTTTGACAATACAAACGATAATGTGCAGATGTGGGTGGTTTCTTATCCCCATGCTTGGCTAAACTGGGATCAGATTATTAAGTGGTCTAAACAAGATATAAAGAAACTCTCTTAAGAAACTGATTAAGAAAAATGGCGCAGCAGATTCTCTCATCCACAGCATAATTGATGACCAAATAATACTCCAATGACTACTAGAACTTGTCTTATAATACCATCAAATCTTTCCTCAACATTCTAGGTTTGAAAGGTAGCACAGACAGGTATTACAAAAATAATTTCAAAAAAAAAAAGCCAATTATATGCGCTATTCACAGCGTATATTCAACGTGAAGAAAGCATGTGCCAAATAAAAGTTGCCGTCACAGATGAGTAAACACCAACTTGCTAGCCGACAAAAGAAGAAAAATGGAATAATATTGGGAACAAAAAACGCTGACAATAGAACTAAAGATATATCTGATATTAACAGCAAATATTCAGTTTGAAGAAAGCATATGCCAAAGAAAATAGCTGCCATAGATGAGTAAACACCAACTTGCTAGAGGAACCAACAAAAAAAATATGGGAACACAAAACAGTGATTATAGATCTGAAGATAAGCTTCCTCAATTCATTCATGTTCAGGCATCTTCAGTGCAGCAAATTTACTATCATATCGATAACTTAACAACAGTAAGATATCTTCCAGCACATCAGAAATTAAATTCAAATATCAACCTGATTCATAGATAACTTTGGTTGTCCTTCAATCCGTTTTAAACGGTACTTATAAACAACATGGCCTCTACACCCTTTATCAGCCCAAGAATCGACAACCTGCATGTATTAAATGCAAAGTTGGAGGATCAAATAACTACAAGAACTGTAGATTACAGTTAACTCAAGACAATACAAAACATCAAATAAAAATATCGTGACAACGAAGACCTTGCAATAACAGATTTTATAAATGTGACTCAATTGTATTAATGACAGGAGGCAGTAATGTTACAGATGAATATCGGGTATGGAACAAAGAAACCATTATAAAAGCAACAATATGGTAAATAATCAACTACTTGATGGGTTATCCCAAAAAAAGAAATTTTAGCTTCAATTTTTCCAAAACAGGGACTATCAAGATTGCAAGGCTAGCTACAAGGGAGTGCAAAATGAACATTTGCACAAGGGTCTTCACTTTCAGGGGACCAAACTCCTGAAGCATGAAGATGAATTCAGTCGCACGTATGGATGCTACACGAGGAAACAAACGTTTTACAATTATAAAATATAATCACTACTCCAATCAACACATGGTGTTTTAGATGATAAGTTGCGGTTGGTTTATCTATTGTTATTTTTATAGAAAAGTAAATGTGATAAATATTAATTCACAAAACGAGAGCCAAAACTAAGAAAAACATAGTTTATCTTTAAACCAAACCTACTTAAATTAAGCAAACTACCTTGTACAATCCATCATATGAGTAAATTTTTCCAGAGTAACTGCCAGCATTTTTACGCCCACGGATTACTCTAATGGGAACAGATTGATCCATGCTATTCTGCAAGATTACCAAATACTTTAATAGAAGAAAATCTAAAGACTTGGCAAAAAGTCAAAAAGAGCAAGAAGCCACTCTGAAACTAAAAAATGCACTAGTGACAAGGGATGGAGAGATTGCAGGAAGAAGGATCATCTTAAAAAGAATCAAAGACAAAATATTATCCCAAAAGAGATACAAGTAATAGTTTTGAAGGAAAGATATCAATAGCTATAGCCAAAGTACGAAAATCCCAAGTCACTCACCTTCAAAGCAAGATTACCTCGAACCAAAACTTGATCCTCCTGCTGTAATTTACTACCAAGCAAGTCATGGCCACCCTCACCAGTGTAGATAATATCATCTGCATTATCCAAATCATCTTCATACTGGCCAGACATTACTATGGCCACAGCAATCGGCAAAGTACACTTTTCATGTCCCTTTTGCATAAAATTAAAAGGCAAATCAAATTGCAATCCTTGGATTATTCAATATTAGTTTGGTTGGCTTTATTAATATGGCATGAGCTTGTGATGACAGAACGTGAATCAAAAATTATGTAGACAAGTTCAATGACTCAACCAAGGCTTGGCTGATTTACAATTATTGTAGCGCAAACAGAATCAAATCACCAACTTGATAAAGGTTTACTAGACGAGATTGTCACTAATTGCAAAGAACACATACAACTTAACTAGAAATTGGTAATACAATCTTTCCCAAAGCAAATAAGGAAGGATAGGCAGTGTGGAGAAGAAAAGAAGCAAAGCAAACAACTAAACATATCTATATCAAAACAAAAGTAACCCAAACAAACAAAACAAGAAAAGATCAACAAATCCCAAATAAAAAAGGGAAAAAAAATATTTTCACCACCCAGGCATCTAACAACCATTATCACCTTTATATTTTGGTTTAAACATCTTTTTACATTACAAAATTCAAATTTAACAAATCAATATGGCTAATTTTACATATGGTCAACCCTCACTCCCTTGGTTTCAGCCCCACTTCCCATATATGGTCGTTACAAAATAGTGGAGTTAATATTTTATTGAAAAGTAAGGAATGTGAGAGGGAAAGAAATAATAAATAAATAAAGTAGTGGTGGATTTAAGTGAGGACCATGAGATGAGAGAGAATTAATATATAGATGGAGTATGTTGCCAAAAAAAGGAAGTGTAGCACATTAAAAAACAGCCGCAAAAAGAAAGTGTATTAACACTTAAAAAAACAGAGAGAGTAGAGCGAAACCATGTGCAAATAAGGAAATGTTGCAAAATTTATGAAACTTCCTACACTGGTAACTGTTGCAATATTAGTGGAACGGAGGAATTATAACCTAAGGAAGGTTAGTGAAGCTGTGAAGTACTAGGGCTCTCTACACCTTGTTTTCAAGAGCTTAGTAATTGTTCTAGTTATATCAAACTAGATCAAATCATAAAGATTATCTTGTTTCCGTTTTCTTCGTACAAAGTCTCTTAAAATCTAAACTAAAAATACATATATGAAAATGTAGTGTAGAGCTAATTCGTACATCCTACCATACAAAACATATTGTTGATTTAATAAAGAGGGTTCTTTTGGAGCATTTTATCAATTTATATCAATAGAATTATCTGGAAATGTTCTTTAAAAGGAAAAAAAAAAAAAAAAATTAAAAAAAAAAAAAAAAAAAAAAAAAAAAAAAACAATGTGAATGTTATGCATGAAAATATTTAAGAAAACATTGAAGGTAAGAAATGAAAGTAGAACTAACTCATGAACCAAATAATAGGGGAAATAATGATCAATCTATCCGTCAAATCTCATCTCAACTAACTCTGAAAAGCTTTACCTTTTTGCCTTTAGATTGTCCAATATAATCAATCCCATTCAGCCAATGACTATGAAATCCGACAGCAGTCATCTCAGCTCGAGAATAAAACTGATACCCCACATCAATTCCTGCCCATTCCACAAACAACGGAATCCAGTTAATTTCAGGACAGAGAAAATAAGAAATCCTTTTTGCTCGGGTTACATGCACCAACCAGGAAGAGAGCCAATCGTCTTATGAGGATACAATATTTCATTCTTCTCTCTAATCTGTCAACACAATGTAAACAAGTCAACAGTGAATGCAAGTACAAGTTATATTGATTTCACTGCCGGAAGGGTCTAGAAAATGCATGGACAACAGTCATATGTGCTTCACAACAACAGCACCACAATATATATTTCAGTGTATGAGTGACAAAGCAACAACTATATTGTCGATGTGACATCAGTTGAGATGTAAGAGTATGTGTAGGAAAAAAAAAAATTACAGACGGGACTGAAGGCATATTGATATAAGTAGTAAATTATTAGAGAATAGATGAGTGTAACAGTCTGAGCCAAAAGGTGTACTACTCTACCATCTAAAGCAATGACATTTGTAGATTGATACAGCAGCAGAACAATCTCAATTCCATTTATGAGTATTATTCACATATTACAGGATTGAGTTCTGACATGCCAACTTGCCAAGAAGCTAAGACCTGAGCAAGTGAAAAAAAAGTAATCTATATAGTATTCCCTTCAGGCACAGAAATTAAGTTACAGAGTACGTGAAGGAACAAGGGAATGATACTTTTTTCCAGCAAAAACAGCCTGGCAGAAGTGTGGAGGACCTTATCCATCTCTTATGGATATGAAGAGCATTAAAAGTGCCAAAATTGGCTAAAATACTCCCAGAAAACCTCATACACGTCAATTCAACCTCCAAAGTTAAGAAGATCAAATCAGAAGCATTCAAATACACTATAATATTTTCAACTTTTGGTAAAGGAACATTTTGTTAAGGAATATAATCCAATCCTAGCAGCTTAAATATTTACGTAATGAAATCTGACAAGGCAATGTGTAACCATAAAATCAAGCACAAAGTATATTTATTACCTAAAGTGATGCATTTACTTACTGTCTAGAGCAATGTAACTAAGGAAAGTGCAAAAACTTGCCTTCGTTAAAGCCTTGAGGTCAGGCCGACAAGAAGTACGCTTAACATCTTTCTCCTGTAAATGAAGCCAACAAATTAATTCCACATCAACTTCCATATCTATCCTAATCCTTCAAGAAACTGGACAAAAGCGATGAAAGAATAGGCTTAATAGAGGAAAAGCTAAACAACGTAAATTGCATAGGACAAAAGAATAGCCCTTAGATGTTCACATACAAACTTGTACTCTGTTCTAAGCTTATACAAATGTGTGCTTCCTACACTTGCATCAAGGAACAACCAAGGTTTCAGAATGATATACAGTTAAATAGAAAATCTCAAAAATTAAAAAATGGCAAGAAAAGCAGGGAACTAAATGATATTTGCAGTCATGACCATGGTAAAGATCACACATTGAGAAAGTGCAATATCTCACAGTGATGCCCTTGTTAGAGGGAAAAAATAACAGAGATCTTGCAATAAAATCTATCTCCAAAAACAATATGAGCAGGATACAATAGTTTTTATCATAACACATTCTCCCATGCAGGAGCTAAAGAGTCAACACAAGACAATGTTACAAAATTGACATTTAAGCATGATTTCTGGTACATATACTTGACAAAAAATAGCAAAAGAATTGATCATAATTGCAAAGTAATACTTCATGTAGAAAAACACACCTTCACCTTGGACGGTGAAGTTTTCTTTATCTTCTCCTGGACAATCTCACTTCTCTTGCGCCTCTCCTCTTCCTCCTAGATGAAATTGGTATGTAACAAAATAATGTTAAATCTAGAAAACACAATATCGAAATAACCAATACTTACCTAGCTGGTAGAATTTTTTAATACACAACCTTTTGGACTAAGAATAAGTCATAACGTCATATAAATGTTTTAATGACATGAACAAAAAATGATTTTTTTTTTTATTTTTTTATTGCCACTCCATAGATCTAATTGCAATAAAAATAAAAGGGAATGAAGTTACCTGGACACATTGAAGGTAGTATGTATTAAAGATTCTCAAAGTCTCCTTTACCCTAGCATGATCACTTCTTCCAGCAGCATCAGGAGGGGCTCCATCTTGTTTTTTTGCTTCATTTTCCCAGGCTTTTAATGCCATATTAAACTGATGAGGTGTTTCACCATTAGAAACACGGGTTACTTCATTCACATATGAACATTCAAAGTCCAATTTACAGTTATCATCCTTAGGATGGTCATGTTTACTTCTTTTAGCACTAAATATGTCCGTAGCAAGGGAAGCATCAAGTGATCTCTTATCATCAACAGGACTCTCCAGTTGAGTATTGTGATTTCCATTGTCTTGCTTGATATGAAGTCTAGGGCTTAATCTCCTTTGCATTGGAGTCGTCGACATAGTCTTCTTCTTCTCATTTTCATGCTCACATTGAATTGTAGGGCTTATAGTCTTTGGCATTGGAGTCTCAAGCAAATTTTCTTGATCGCCTTGAATTCTAGGGCTTACTCTCCTTTGAATACTAGGTTTCTTGGAAGTATCCAGTTTCCCATTTGTCACTGTACATGGGTGAAGCCTGGGGCTAAGTCTTCTCTGAACTTGACTCACTTGACTAACAGAAATCGAATGCACATCAGGGCTTATCCCAAGTGAAACGCTATCATTTTGCGGTGTTATAGTACTTCCGAGATTCTCATGGAGCCTAGGGCTCATCCTTCTTTGAAAATTGGAATCAGTGGCCACAACCTTAGGGGTAGGGGTTTTAGAATGTGCAATGATTGTAGGGGTTTCTAATAGCTCCTTCGTTTGGGCAGGGCGACGGGAATTGGGGCTTAGCGTTCCTTTGACACTAGATTGACCAGGAGGTGAATCTATCTCAAAAACTGAAGAGTTATTATGAAATCTTGGACTAAATCTTCTGGGAACGGAACCCGAATTCCCGGCATCGTTAGACTCAGTATGAAGCCTAGGACTGAGTCTCCTCCGGAATTCTCCATTACTCACATTCCCTAAATCCATCAATTAAGAATACCTAATAGTTGAATTTCAAGAATAATCAATCTGCATAACAATTATAACCCAAAATTCACATTGTTGATTACCAAAATTTAACGAAAGCTACACAAACACATTGTTCGGAATCAAAACGAAAAGATTAAAGAGAAAAAAGAGTTATACCTCACAATTCACAAACAAACCCTAATCCGTCGCAATTCAAGCACCAATTACGCTACCTGGAAATCGAAAAATGATGAAAGATTGAAATTTGCAGTGATTAAATACAAAAATTGAAGAATTCTTGAAAAATACCAGTTAATCACTCCAATTTAAGAATGCATGCTTGATAATTGAGTGATTAGCGAGTAGCGATTGACTGCTGCTCCAGCGACTCGATTCAATGCAGATTAGTTTGTCTCTACTTCAGTGTTGCCTTTTTTTTATTAGGGTTTTTCGAAAATTAAAATTACGGAGTTTTATTATTATAATATTAATAAGGGGATTTTTGAAAGGTAAGACCTCAAGGGCGGGAACTTGGAAGTTGGATATGACTTATGAGTCATGTCATATGAATTAGGGGGCGTGGATTGGACGGATACCCATAAGGTTATTACTAACAATTCGGGTAACCGATAACCAATATCATTAAAAGTAATATTCATAAATCGAACCGATAAGTTCGGATATCCGGATTTTCGGATCGGTTATCGGATACCAAATAAGATATTCAATAATGATAATTAAACTTAATAATGTAGTTATTATGACATCATTTAACACTAATTAACAACAATACCACATGATCTTAACCAAATTATTAATAATATTACTAATCATTGATCTTATAAAGTGATTATGAAGTAAAGTGAGAGTTTAGAATTTGGAAAAATAGATTTAAGTAGGAAAAAAAACAAATTATCGGAACGGGTACCCGAACAATTATGGTTATCGGATCAGGTACCCTAATTTTTGGAACGGTTACGGATCGGGTTTTCAATTTTTCGGGTAGTTTTGCTCAGCCCTTATTATTACTAGTGACTTGGTGAAGTATTTTTCAATTAGTATTAGGTACTCCTAGGAGTATTGTACTCCAGGGCCCATTCTAATAAATTGGATAAAAACCCAATTAAAAGAAAGTCTAGGCGAAATAATTTGATGAAATAACCATTAAAGAAAACAAACCTCTCTATAAAAACGGTCGAGATTAAAATATTATTTCCCTCTCCAATGTCAATCTTTCTTTTCTCCATTTCAACAAGCACATATAGATCTTCAATTGCATTGATTAAAAGCCTAAATTCCTTATCAATCATGCCCAAAATGAGAAATTCTTCTTTGCATGCCCAAAACGAATATCAAATACTTAAAAGTCTATCCGGAGAAGTAAGTTTTTCAAGTTTTGTATATTATTTCACTGATTAGGGTTGAATTTCTGCTAATTTTTCACACTCATAAGCAACAAGAAGAAGCACATGTTCACCTTAGGAGTTGATAAATTTGCATTCTCATCAGGTAGATCAGTAGAATCTTCATCCTCTTGCTTCCCAAAAAGATTCATGGGATATGGCTGCTAGTAAATCCTCAACTTCCTTCTTCATGTTCTAACAAGAAATATCAATAACTTTTCATTCATTAATTTGTTATTTTTATTCACATATTCATGTTATTTTAATTTATTGTATACTATAATATTTTGATTTATATATCATGTTATTTTGATGCACATGTCATGTTATTTTGTTCCCAAACAGGTTATATTATTTTGATTCATATACTTTGTTAATTTGATTCACAAACAAGAAGGGTTATTTTGATTCACACACTATGTTATTTAGATTCACATATTATGTTATTTTAATTCATATACTATGTTATTTTGATTCATTAATAGGTAAATTTATTTTGATTTGTATACTATGTTATTTTGATTTATATATCATGTTATTTTGGTTCACATGTGGGTGTTATTTTCGTATATCATGTTACAAGCTAAGAAAAGATTGATTGAATGCACAAATCAATTAAAAAAAAAAAAAGAGAAAACAGAGGGAAGCAAAGCGCAGAGTCTGAGAAATTTAATAATGCAAATACAAGACACATCATCATTTTTTACTATTGGAGTACCATCCTCATGGTACTCGAAATTGTGAGTATTATTTTTATGTGTTTGAGAAATTGAGGGTCATACTTCTCATACACATTTTTTTTTTCTTTCAAAATAAGGTTTAAATAAACCAACCACGTTGTGATTATGGATGTCAATGGGGCGGAGCGGGGCAGGGCGGATGTTGGATTTCTCATCCCCATCCCCGACTAACATTCCCATCCTCATTCCCGCGGCGGGTCCAAAACTCATCCTTATCCCCGCCAGGGACAAACCCAAAACCATCCTTGTCCCACCTTCACTTGGATATCCACCCCCACCTAAGACCCGCTTAATCCCCGCCTCCCAAATACGACAACACTACATATACAGATTACAATAATAAAAAAAAAATAAAAATAAAAAAAAATCATTGTTGATATTACACTTTTTTAATTTTTTTTAAAATATCAGTATATTACAATGTATTATATTTACTACTTTATTTTACATAATTTTTTTTTAAATATAAAATAGTATAAAAGTATACAATTTTATTTTTTAAAAATGTATAGACGGGTATGGGGTGGGGATAGGGCGGATACGAAGCGGGGCGGAGCAGGGATGTGGCGGCTACAACCTAAAATCCACCCCGCCCCATCACCCATGACGGGTATGGTTATTATCCCCATTCTCGCCCCACCACCCGCCAAATCGGAACCTATCCCCGCCCCAATGGGTGGGAATGAGGCGAGTCTCCTACTTGACCCGCCCCATTGACATCCCTAGTTGTGATGTGAGATTCTTATTGTGTGTGATAAAACATTTATTATATTCGAAAAAAATGAATAAATGATGAGATATACGTAAATTATAAATTCTGAATTAGTTAAATGATTTGTTTCAACTCCCTCCGTTTTTTTTAAATGCATAAGTTTGACTTTTGCACTATTTACATACCATGTTTGACTTAATTTTTTTGCTACTATAAAATAAATAAATATTATCATATAATATATCATTAGATTCGTCACAATGTCTACTTTCATAATATAATTTTGTTACAATTTTTACTAATAAACAATTAAAGATATTAATGGTCAAAGTTACGTATTGACAAATGTACCGATCAAAATGATGCATTAAAAAAAAACAGAGGGAGTAATAATATAACCAGTAAACTTATTTACGAAATATTTGTTATAGAGTTCAAGTGACAACTATCTCTATACTTCATAAAAGAAATAGAGAAGGAGGCACGACTCTTAGACAAACAATCCACCAATGGGCTTCAAACTCCTTTAAAGATCTTAGGTTGGACATGTAATTCATTTTGCAGCTCATAGCTAATAAGGTTAGCACAAGCTTTGTCTAGTCTTTAGAGGATCATCAATCAATATCAATATCAATATCAATTCATATCAAAAAATAAAGAAAAATATATTTGTGTGAGATATTTTCCATATTGATATTAGAAAAGTAATATCATTAGACTTATGGTAGGATATGATTTATTAAAAAATATTGATATGATTTAGTTAACCATATCTTTGATGTTGTGGTAATACGTCTATTGTTTCCTATCTTAGGTTTTGTACAAATTATCTACTTAGGTCCTGTTCACTTCACCTTAAAAAAATAATATTAAGTAAAAATAATTTCAGTTCATTAAAAATAAGTTCAATTCCGTAAAATTCAGTAACTTTAAAGAATAAATATAATGGAAAATCAGTAAAAATAATTTCATTACAGCAAAAATAATTGCAGTTTAGTAAAATTAATTTCAATTCAGTAAAAATAAGGTGAAGTGAACAGGGCTATACTGTTCCACTTTTGTTTGCTACATTTTGACTTTTATGTTAAACATTAATACAATTTGACTTCAAAAATTAAAGTTTCATTCTCTTCACCTTATTTACAAACATAATGAGTTGTCCTATAATAAAACCAGTTTTGCATAACTGAAATTATTTTTACTTGCTAAAACTTTAATTTATAGATTCTCTATTACATTTACTTTTTAAAGTTACTAAATTAAAAATTATTTTTACTAAACTTAAATTATTTTTACTGAACCGAACTTATTTTTACTTAACTAAAATTATTTTTGCTAAAATGAACTTATTTCTACTTAGCTAAAATTATTTTTAATTAACTTAATTTTTTTTTTTTACTGAATTGGACTTATTTTAGTTGAACTTATTTATATCAACTGAATTTTTTTAACTTAACTGAAATTATTTTTTTACTTGAATGAACTTATTTTTACTAAACTAAACATATATTTTAAGGTGAAGAGAACAATACCTAACTTTTTTTTACTCTATTTAACAAAAATTATTTGATGGACACATTTTTTCTATGGAAATATAATGATAAGGTTGGGATTATTATGTACCCTTTTTTGTAACTAGGGTGGCTAACGCGCGCGCATCATAGCTAGACATGTCTGGATAGCTCTTTCAGCTGTCGGCAATATTAATGAGAGAAATTATGTAAACAAACATATATAGCCTATATAGGAATATAAATATCCGCACATTATTCTTAATAGTTTCAAAAACAAAGCTAGTTTTTTTTTTTTTTTTTTTTAAGGAAGGAAACAAAGTTAGGTAATTGATAGGGTATTATTGTTTAAAAATGTACCATTCATAAGAGTTAAATTATTAATTCACACATGGAAAAGTTTATAAGCAATTAACATCATATTGATAGGGACATATAGGTAAACAAATATTTTTGTGATATAAAATTATCCTCACACTATTTATTAGTGTTTTCTCATATTTTTTAAAAGAAAAAAGAAAGATATATAGAGAAGGGTAAAGCCACAAAAGTAATACATAATACATAAAGAATAAAAAGGAACAAAATGAAGTGCATATTAGTATATTACAACCAAATAGATAAAACAATCCAATTTTGCCAAAATAATAGCAAGATGCAATCTAAACTAGATTAAACTACCAAAATTATAGTCAAACTATGTTTCATAGCTTGATAATTATCCATCATTAGATTAGCTATTAACTTTTTTTCTATATATAAACAATAAACTATGAACTTAAATAACTGGAATATCAATCATTTTACTGTTTTCAAGTTTTTCTTTTGAAAAGGGAAGAACAAGATGATCATGTCACTAATAATTTTGATGGGATTTGTTTTTAATGAGAAGTCGACACAAGGACAATAGTGATCTAATGTTAGCGGTTATTACTTTAGTTATGGTTATAAATAAACATATCAACCCTTAGCTTCCTCTCCCTCTCAAATCTCCTCTTTAATCCCTACATTTAAAAAGCTAAAACTAACCTTTATGAATAGCATGTAGATATTTATATTAAAAAATATATATTTACCTATTGTAGGGAATATTTCAAACATCAACTTTGTGCCCCACTGTGATCATGCA